CCATCTACATTAAGATCCAAAATTCTGAGAAAAAAAGTCAGAATTCTGAGGAAAAAAAGTCTTAATTCTGAAAATAAAAGTCAGTATTAAACTGAAATAAAATGTAAAAATTACTTAACTTTTTTTTTTCAGTGGCCCTAATCCTCTTCCGTAATCTTGGGCTGATCACTCATCCAATATTTAACTGCTAACTTTCTCTAGACGTTTGCCACGCTAGCCAAAATGTTTTTTTTATATATTTTTTTTTATATCTCATTTCAGTACAATGCCACCACCAACTAAAAGGCTGAAACAGCAGTAGGACTTACTCAGATTTTTTTAAAAGAGAAACGTCAGTGTGAGTAACAGTCACCTAACACAACTTGTGTTGAAATTAGCCCGGTCTGGGCGTGCGTTTAACGAGGATTTTTTATTTTTTGCATGGTTTTGATTCGCCGAAATGGACAGATGTTATACCTGCCGTGCTCCTGATCGTTAGTTAACCACAGGGAGAATTCATTTTAATTCTTAGCAGCGGCGGCCGCATTGGTCGTGCAGTGGACTGCTGCACAACCACTAATTAACCAACTAATTAACTTCTGCATCTTTATTTCCTCAAATAAACTGCTGGCTCCTCTTTTTACACTATAAACAGATTAACACAACATTGACAACTCTGTAGTTTTCTCTGTTCTGCACTGCAAATTGGAATTAAAGGCGCGATTTCAACCAAAGGTCTGGACAGACTGGCCACCTGTCTAGGGTGGACCCCGCACCAGCACCTCCCGACCCCACTAAGGGACAGGGTGTACAGAAAATGGAAGGATGGATGGATTTCTACCAAAGATTTAGAATGCGTTTTTGAACCAGATGCTTCAAAGCGCCCTGTCCATAATTCTTCAACACACTGTCAGCTCCCTCTGTCAGTCAACCTATATAAATTCATTTTTGACCATTATTGCAAGTTTGACAAAATAAAACATATCAAACTTTGCACTTGTGTGGCCTACTGAATTGTTTTGATTTTCTAGTGCGTATGCGGACACTAAATATGCCAAGGGCTGAAGCCCTTGAAAGACATCTCCCTTTGCTTAATAAAAGACTCCAGTCATTTTGTTTGGTGATATGCTCACATCTTATGAACAAATGCATTATGTAAATTTTAAATGCATTATTTTTGCAAACACATTTATAAAGGAATAAATTAAAAGATTAAATAGCCTTTTTTTTAAGTAGCGTACTTAAGATATGTTTCTGTTGAATATTTACGAATCTCAGATTTCCGACATGTGTCCCCCCCAATTGTAAACATATTCCTACGCCCTTGGCTGCAACTAACGATTATTTTAAAAATCGATGAATCGGCCGATTATTTTGTCGATTAATCGATGAATCGGACAAAAAATATTTTTTATATTTTATACTCTTTATTCCAAAATAAACATTTTAGACAGAACAAACAAGCACACAAGTACAGGTTGCTCATTAACTGTCCTGGTGCAATATGAAAAATAAATGTTTGTGTTAAAACTATGCAAACTTACATGAGAAATGTAGCTGTACATCCACAAAATATAGGCTACTTTGTTTCATAAAGTGCAAAAAAAGACTTTTTTTTTTTTTTAAAGCCCCTAAGGGGTTCAAACAATAGGCCCCCCCATTTCAACAAATGAGGTTTTTTTTTTTTACTAGAAGAGTTCTGCCTTTTAAGACAGGAAAGTATAGCAGTTAAAGTTGCTGCTTGAGAAAATACTGAACCATAGAGATAAAAATAGCCCTGTGATTCAAATTATAAATTGTATTTGGAATAAAAACTGAGAGAACTAGGGGTGCTAAAAAACACATCCTCCAAAAACAGATATTTACATGGGAATGTGGCATATAATTAATTGACATATTACTGATCTTGCTGGATTTTATTCTGCTTTACTTCCATAAATTGCAGGATCTTCTTTACTTTATCTTTGCCAGAAGATTTAAACTTTTAAAGCCTTGCCCTCATAATTTGCAAGTTAATTTATTTATAAAGTAAATATAAACGCTGCTTAAGCTAATTCAAATGAAATTAAAAGTAAAATAAGTAGCCAACCTTATCACTGTCTGTAACCTACTAACACGGTAAGGAAAGCATCAGATGAGCTACCTGAGAAACTAACGTTACGTTTCCCCACTTTAAAACCAAACAACAAGTATCGGTGGTTTCGGTGGTTCCGTGCCATGTTAATTTGTTTTTACAAAAGTTGCATGTTACGACTTTTTTCACTGTACAAAGCGCAGGCTATTTTAATTATTGTGATCAATTTGCTCCGCACAATCCCGGTGCATGCGCGCTTCATTTGCAGTCTGGACGCTGAGGCTCTGACTGCAGCGCTGAGAGGGACTCCTGCGGGAGTAGGGGGAGGCGCCCCACGGCAGAGTAGGAATGATACATGCTTTCACGTAAGAGTCTCCAAAAGCCGCCAGTGACACCGTAAAAAGTCGCCAGATTTGTCGCTAGTCGCTTTTTTGAAAAATAGTCGCTGGAGGGGTCTGAAAAGTCGCTGAGTTGGCAACACTTCACCTGCGGCGCTGGCTCGCTCTGCTGTATTTTTTCTTCTTCCCCCGTTTCAGTCAAGTGGCAGTGATGACGGCAGCGGTGGATGACGCATTAATCGCGCGACACAATCGATGATGAAATTCGTTGCCAACGCTTTTAAAAGTCGATTTTTATCGATTTTATCGATTCGTTGTTGCAGCCCTAATTGTTACCCCGAAATCCCATAAAAATTTGTGAAATTAATGAAAAAATCCCCAAAAAATGAAGGAATTGTAATTATTTTTAATGATCCGCGGAAACCCTGGATCATTTATGCATGTTTTGCTGCTTTGAATTTAATCATCTGGCGCATGCTCTCTACGATCTCCAAGGACCTCAGAGCGGAGCGACGGGAGCCACAGTGGAGGCTGTAGGCTTTGCTTTGAGCAGGCGGTCTGGAGCGCAGCGGGGCGGAGCGCTGACGGAGTATGAGGGATTTCAGGGTTAGCCTGACATGTTGGTCATGTTGCTGTTAGCATAAACAAAACATGTTGCACAATGCTCGCACACTGTTGCACTTTTATCCACAACTTTCTTTCCGCCGTCATCGTAGGTCACTCTAAATGCAAAGTGGTCCCATACAGCAGACCTATAAAGTGCTGCTGGCGCGTCTTCCAACTCCTGTTCTTTCCCACTCGCCATACCCACACAATTCTCCACAACAACTGATTTTTTTCTGCTACACCCGGCTACGCTGCTTCGCTTCTTCTTCTTCTTGTTTACTACTGGTGGTTGGCTTTGGTCGCAGTACCGCCACCTTCTGCTCTGGAGTGTACACGCTTCGCCTATGAGAAAAAGGAGCAGCGCATGAACCGAACGAAACACACGCGAACCGAACCGAGACAGTCGAACAGAACAGTTCGGACGGTTTTTATAAAACGTTCCATCCCTAGTAAAAAGCAGCTTTATTATAATTTTAAGTGGAAAAAGTCCACCTGAAAACTTAATCACTGCAGTCAGTTCATCAAGGTTACCATACTGCTTTCAAATATTATTTCGCTGTCAGACCTCCATACCCCGGGGGTACGGGGGTCTGACAGCGAGTTTTCCGCTACTGTTCACGGCGGCTGGAAGGCGTTTTTCATGTACGTTATCCAAACTGCAGGCACCAGAATAATAAAATCAGACATTTTGCCAGAAGGTTTTGACATTAAAAAGTTAATTTAGGCGTTAATAAACTGTTTCAGAGGAGTGATGATAGCCCTCTGCATCAGCAGTGCTGTGTCTGACTCCCTGCCAGCTCCCAGATCAGCTTCTCTGATTCGTTGATGAGGCACGTCAAGCAGCAAAAATGTAAATTTTTTCTTTGTAACTTCAAATGTGCAATTACAGAATGCTTTTTGAATTGGATTTAAAATTTTATCATTTAAGCATTAAACTTAAAATAGTTATTAAATAGTTATATGCCTTTTTTCAGAGACCCCCCTGGTTCTTCATACGCTATAATCCTTGATCAAAATCCCACCCAGAATACTATTTCGGTGCATGTGTCAGAGTCAGATTTAAAATCCTATTCAAAGAGTTGATCTGGTCACAGTGTGTGCAGAGAATGTCCTAAATCCATGTTACTGTATGTTGCTGCGTGCCTGTAGTTCTTCTTACCATTGCCGGTATTTGTCCATTACCATTGTTGGTATGTCCCTGTACTATTGTTGATGTTGTGTAAACCATTACTATTATTTTACGATTTATCATTGCTGGTACGCTAGAAAACAGAAAGATACTATGTAATTAATTAACTGATCTGGCAACACAATTGTGATTTTGTTTATTTGTTCTCAGTTCCAAAAACATTATATATATTTTTTTTTTTTTTCTAACTGCTTTTGCTCCGACATTTCTGTGTTCTAAGTTGCCGTTAAGGAAAAAAAAGAAGGAAAAAAAAAACTTGGGAGACGTGTATGTATATATATATATATACTACATTTATACATTCACTTGTATATTTCAATGGATGTAATTGCCTGCAATTAATAAATAAATAAAAAATAACCTCCCTCGCCTTGAAAGCAAAGAGCCATCACTGTCCAACTTAGGACAAACTTTGACCCAGCAGCCCCTGACCAGTTAAAAACACTCTCACTTTCTCTAATAAACTATGTTAATATATATGTGGGGTTTCCAGTATTATTATTATATTAAGGTCTGAGGTGACCTTTAAAGCTCCCTAACTATGCAGCTCAGGTACAGATTTCTATTCATCCCAGACTTTTTCATTAGTTGATTTATTTTATCAACTACAGCTGTTGATTTTTAGTTTATAAAACAGCAAAATGTAAAAAAAAATAGATTAAAAAAAAGACAGAAAACTGCTTAGATGTAACATTATTTCCAGAATCTTACTATGTGTATTTATTGTCCAGTAGAAGGAGAGTTATATAGATTGTCTCTCTGCAGCTCTACAGGCGGTTATCTGAGGTGTGGTTCAGTCATACCGGCTACTTACCGGTCGAACTTCTCCAGAAGTGTTGGTGTACTGACGCGCCAGACCAAAGTCCAGCATGTAGCACTTCCTGTAGGTTGAGGGGAGCCGGCCCATCGCAAAGTTTGACTGGTAGGAAAAGGACGGCAAATTCAGTTTCTTAACCTAAACACAATTCTACATTTTTTTTTATGCAATTCTTTTGATTTTTGTTTGAAATTATTATTATTTTTTTCTTTATTTAGTTTGGAGAACGCTTTGTATGGAGGGAATTTTGTTTCATTATTGTTGCAACCAAAGAAGAAGTTTCTTAAACGAAAATAGAAACTAAAATAAAATCCAGAAATAAGTAACATTTTGAGTAACATTTTTGCAATTTTTTCAAACTAAGTTTTATTTTAATTTATTTACGGATTTTATATGTTCGGATTTTAATTTTTAATTACATTTTGTCTTTATCAGATGGAAGAAAAAGAAAAAAAAAGGTGGAAAAAAGAAGAAGAAAAAACTTTTTTCTAGTTGCATTTTTTTCAAATACAATATAAAAATGCACTGTAGGGAGGGGGGGCGAACAGTTCCTGATATCAAATCCTGTCCTGATACGATTTCTATTTAATATAATTAACAATTCTGCAATCGCTGTGATGCAATATATTCCCAAATAATGCAACCTTTTGCAGATAAAACACAACTTATTCCTTTGATTTTCAAATATAATTCTTCTTAAAAAGAAATTCTAAAAAAAAAATCACCAGTTTACACTCCAGAAAGCTTTTAATTTGGCATCGATGTAACCTGATGGGTACAGATTATATTGATTTGAATCGATGTATTGTTACTCTACTTGTGAATATGGCTATGACATCACTCCATGAAGTCTGATGAGACTTTCCTGTCGCATCAGAAATAAATGTTTAATCTTCCTATCCCTAACTGGATGTCTCACTTTAAGATTGCAGTATTTCTCACACAGGGATGCTTTACCAATATTTTTTAGTGAACGCGTTGCTTTGCTATTAAAAGCATGAAATACAGAGGACTATATTAATATTAAATTCTACGGGTAAAGGTTGTTGGATTGACCCGAGAAAATATCACTCAGAAAATGTCAAAGAGCTTTGAACTCTTTTCCAAATGTAAAGTTAGAGATAAAAAGAAAACTGGCCAGAGCTTCTTCCTTCTTCACTATTATCCATTCTAAATATTTTCTGAGCAGCTGGAGAACCATAAAATGGTTTTAGACTCATGGATTCATCCTGAATGCAGTTTGATTAAAGCCTGCAGTCTTTTTTTTATCCTATAACCTGCGTTTCCTAATCCCACCCCCCTAATCACCGCCGTTCTATAGCTTTTGTTCCACTGTTATTATGTAAATTGATTCAGAACAAAGGTTCCCAATCATCTGTTTCCTCCCTATTTCTTTGTTTCACTAAAAAAAACAAGGCAAATATATGATGTGGAGAAGAATGAAACTCTTTTTGTAGTAAACAAGGATTTTCCAACAAAACCATCCAACGTGGTTCATTAATGGGGTTACAAAAAGCTGATTAATATCAGATGTTTTCTTTGATTTAAAAGCTTAAAGATCGACCGTCTGTTTCTTCGTACCGGTTTAATGTCGCGGTGCAGGAATCCCACTGAGTGGATGGCTTCGATGGACTCCAGGATCTGCTTGCCGAGTCGCAGGGTGGTGCTCATGGTGAAGGTTCCTCTGGGCTGACTCCTCCGTAGATCGGCCAGGTTTCGACCCTGAAACAACATATGGAGGAAATCAAACTGCCCCTTCGATACAAGAAGCGTTGATCATGTTTGCCTCAGCTTTCCTATTATTGGTGGTTTTCAACATGCTGAATTTGTTGCATCCAGCAGAACAAAAGAGATTCTCCATGTATGTAAAAAGATCCAACACCCATCTATCAAAACATGCAAACATGCGACTAAATGCTTCCGGTTCTGCTGAGCTGGAAGGTGAAAACCACTTCAAATACCCAAAGAGGCTCTCTCTGGCTTACATGTGGTGCATTAAAAGTAAAAACTTCCATGGGGTTGGGTTTATACTATGCCACAACATTATTGATCTCAAAAACCTTTAATTTCCTATGCAGCACATTACTTTAACTGATCTATATGTGCTGCCTCTTTGGTTGAAAACCGCACTAGGGCTCCCCCTGCTGGATAATTTACTGTATTATTTGGTGACGTTAAAGGAAGTTGTGGATCCAAGATGGTGGAATGCAGCACCAAGCAGTTTGGGAAATGAGCTGATTGCTATCTTTCACGTTGTGTTTCAGACAAGATTTGTTCGTTTGTACCGTTTATTTGTGAAAACAACTGTTTCTTGTCTATTATGTAACTGGTGTGAATAATTGTACACTAGAGTTATTTATGGAAAATGCTTTATTTAACTTGCAGCAAGAGTGATTGACTTTGTAATGTTTGTATGTTACAGTTTACGAAGGCTAAAGTGATGGCAGTGGTCAGAGGCCACTCTTCAATAAACAAGTGAAAACAGAAAGTTGTTTGATTATTGGAGTGTCCTTGTCTGGCTGTCTAGCTTGCTGAAAAATTGGGAATTGGGAGACATAACTTAATTTCAGCACTTTCTGCTACATTTCAAAACATGTCTGAGGTTCCGTTTGGCAGAGAGAGAGCAAGACTTTGAACAGAAAACAGGAAGACCTAGCAGAGTAAAGCTACAATTTGATGTTTTATCCTGCTGTGTTTTTAGCTTCTTTCTGTCATAGACCAGAAATAAGACTAAGATGTGTATTCTGAAGCGAACACATGGAGGCTACTGCTAGCTTATTCGCTAATTGCGCTAACCACCAGTGTAAAGGTTTGTGAATTTGATTTGGACTCAAATGCAGCGCTAGAGAGGCAGAGGTAATTTCTTGTAAAAATTAAAGAAAAAGTAAAAATAGAGAAGCAATAGTCCAGGAACGATCAACAGAATCTGAGGAACCAAATAACTAGGGAGGAGCAAGCCAATAGAATGACGAGGATCCAGCAAGGAGTAACTGAACAGGAGGTGTATATATAGGAGACAGAAAGAATGGGAGGAATGATTAGTTGATAGGGAGCAGGTGTACGAAGAGTAACTAGAAGGAGCCAGGAGAAAGGAAAGGGCACTTTAGCCAGATGGACACTGTACGAGTTTTTGCCCTTTTCGGGCTGATTTTATGGAAGTAAATCTGTTTCGCTGGGATTTGAATTAAAAATGCCACTGAAATTTGCTTGCTTGTGGCGCTCATACTGAAGGAAAACCAGCATGACGGAGCCGGTCATGCAAGCTAACGCTAACTCAACGGTGAGTTTATTACTTTCATTTTTCTGTAGTTTAGTTAGCGTTAGCTTGCATGACCGGCTCCGTTATGCTGGTTTTCCGTCAGTATGGGCGCCACAAGCGTCATGTCACGTGACTAAGAAAACGTAACGGGATTGGCTGGTTGTTGGACGCCACAATCCATTGCTAATGTCTGTGACCTGAAGTAACCCTTCCCTTTTTACACTGAATTTAGACGCCGAATTTAAGAGCCAGTTAAAACAGAGCCAGTTGAATCTCAGGAGGCTGAAAATATTGAGTATGAATTTTAAAAGGTTGCATTTCTTTATATGCAGATTTTTTTAACACTGAAAAATTAAACTGAAAAATAAGTATTGAAAATGTAATCACTTTGAAATAGTAATGTGAATTTTTAGCTTGAAGAGAAAATAACAAATGAAATTTCAAGCATGTAGAAATAATGACAATGATTTTTTTTTTAGGTCAAAAATGTGTTCTGAATATATTTTAACACTGAAACAGTAAGTACAAACATACAACATTTAAATTTAGGCGGCATTTTTAATTCAAATCCCAGCTACACAGATTTACTTCCATATGATTCTCCAGCCATGCGAGAAGTTTTGGATCAGCCCCAGTTTTAGCTTCATCATGCGTCCTGCGTATGATATTGTAATGAGGGGCAATTAGCCTCTCACGACCACTACCGGATCAAACATGTTTGAAATTCAGTCGGCCCTCGTTAGGTGTTCGTTAGCAAATTCTGCTGTTAAAGCAGATTTACGATCGTCTACAAGCCAATTTACCAGATTCTTGCATACTGCACATGTGCAAACCAGGAAGTTCTTCTTGCTGGTGAAGATTATGAGTCATCCAGGTTATAGTCATTCCAAAAAAGTAAAAAAAATAAAGAAATAAACAATCCACTGGACTTTGTTTCCAAGTTTCAAGAAGTTTCGCTTCCCATCCAAGAAGGTTTTTAAATTGAAAATGTCAGATATAGCGTTGTGTTTGAGGATTTATAGACTGGATTTTGGTCTTCAGATCGAAAAAAAATCTACTGAATTATTTATTATTAGATGTTTAAAGCCTTTAAATAATCAGAGATTATCTTTAAATGATCTGATCTGGGAAACTACAGTAAGACAACACAGGTTATTCCTGGAAAGCAAACATTCTAAGCTTTTTTCTCAGAGTACAAAAAACTATTTGGGAATTAAAACGTACGAGTCTTTGCCACAGGAGCCCTTTCAATGCAATAACACCACACCACTTCTTTTCTGAACCTCTTAAAAGGACAACATGGCAGCATAGAAATGCAGAATAAAGGCTGTAATCTGCTGCTGAAGGGCGCCGCCAGCCTACTGCTTAAAGTCACCCACACACTGACTCACCTGAAGCTGCATCACCACGTAGTTAAATTTGTCATTTCTTCCACAGCCGATAAACTTACAGACGTGGTTTTTACCTAAAAAAAAAAAAAACAACAACAAACATTTAAAGGTTAAGTTACACACTGCAAAAAATCTTACCAAGTCATTATATCTTAAAATAAGGAGGTAAGTGAGACACTTTGCCACTTTGGAAAAAGACAATTTACATTTAAAATAAGAAGTGTATATTATCCAATTATCTTATTTTAAGAGTAAAGTACTCATTCCATTGGCAGATCATCTTATTGATCTACTCAAATTATGGAAAATACACTTAATTTAAGAAATATTTACTTATTTCTTGATAGTTTTTGCAGTGCACTCTCCTAACAAAATCTAAAAATAACTTTAAATCCCCAAATCAGAGTCTATCTATATTTAGTTCATTTTACACTTTGTATTCTTCACCACATTAAATACCAAAAGAGGAGGAGTTAATAATCTTTTTTTTATATTGGAGCTTAGTGGTTCTTACAAACACTTCATAGTGTGCCAGAGCAGAGACAGTATTACCTCAGCAGAAAGAGACTGGAACTAATTAGCTGATGTAGCAGCGCATTAAGCAGCTATTAAGACGGCTGATTTATGCAATGATCATTTTAAGATATAAACAGACCATTGTTGAATTTATTTTTACCCTCAGATGGTGCAGCTAAACTTTTCTCTTTTTATGATGGATAATTATAAGCCTGCAATGAGCTGCTCTGTTGCTGATGCCCCTTAAAGGAATAGTACACCGAAAACATGATTAGCCTTCATTTTCTACTCACCCCCATGCTGAACAACACTCTGGAGTACTTTTTTGATATCTCAAATGCATCTGGAGATCTGGGAGGCTTCTTGCTGTCTGCTGACATTCAAATAATGGAGGTCTATGGCGCCCGAGGCAGAAAGGTCCATAAAAGTCCACAAAAAACGTGTCAGTATTCCTCCATACTGCTCGTCCAATGTATTCCAAGTGTCCTGAGTGGGTAGCATCCAGAATTTACTCGAAACGAAGTCATTTAGAATGTTTTTAGAGCATAAACAGTAGTGTATAGGATTTCCTGAAAGCGCGTTCACGAGTCTACGGAAACCGCGGCAGACCAAACCAGATGAAAGTGCGCATTCAGCTCGGCAAAGAACTCATGCTCTTCCTCAACACTGAAGTCCTCAGACATTTTTCTTTCGTTGTTTCTTTCTTTGCACAGGTAAACAGCACATTTCTTCTTCTACGCTTGCATTATCGGCAGAGCAGACGCTGAATGCGCACTTTCATCTGGTTTGGTCTGCCGCGGTTTCCGTAGACAAGTGAACGCGCTTTTAGGAAATCCTATACACTACTGTTTATGCTCTAAAAACATTCTAAATGACTTCGTTTCGAGTAAATTCTGGATGCTACCCACTCAGGACACTTGGAATACATTGGACGAGCAGTAGGAGGAATATTGACACATTTTTTGTGGACTTTTATGGACCTTTCTGCCTCGGGCGCCATAGACCTCCATTATTTGAATGTCAGCAGACAGCAAGAAGCCTCCCAGATCTCCAGATGCATTTGAGATATCAAAAAAGTACTCCAGAGTGTTGTTCAGCATGGGGGTGAGTAGAAAATGAAGGCTAATCATGTTTTGGGTGTACTATTCCTTTAAGGCCAATTTATGCTTCTGAGCTCTCACCCTGCAGCTTCTTGAGAACAGCCACCTCCATCTTCAGAACCTGCTTGGGCTGCTGGGCCGACTCCACCTTCAACGCCACGTTCTCCCGTGTTAGCAGGTCCAAGGCCTCGTAGATCTCCCCAAACCCTCCCCCGCCGATCTTCTTCAGCTAGAACACGGCGAGGAGACAATCAGAGTTTAGACCTACATCCTCTCAGAACTCCAAGAAAAAAAATTACAAACATCAGACAGAAAAGATTAAAAACAGACACAATCTGCTCACCACTTTCCATCGGTCCTTAACCATACAGTTTGGCGGCAGGATGTCGGCCTGCTCGGACGTCCCGTTCATGTTGCCGTTGTCCTGGAGGCCGGGGACTAGGCACTGCATCTGCCAACTAGCCAGAACTCGAGCAGCTCCAAGCTTAAAAGAGCCATTTATCTGCGAGGAAAGGGAAGGAGGTGGAAGAAGAAAAGAGGATGGACAGGAAATGCAAGGTAGAATATTTCATCATCGGATACCAGGAGATGAACCTCCAGCTTTCTCCTCTGAGAATTATAGCAGTCCAGTATAACAACAAGCATTAGATATGGCTGACTGCTATGAGAAGCCATTCTTGAGCTGGATCAGGCTACAGGCTGGTAGGAGGGTTGCAGTTGGCGTTGTGGCGAGGGGAGGGAGTGTGATGGTATTTGCACTAATTGAAGCAAATATCATTTCTGCAGAGGAAGCAGCTGGGCCCTTTGGCCTTGGCCTGGCTGCAGCCGCAGGCATCGACTAAAGCCAATCTTTGAAAACCAGAAGTACATCAACCAACAGCTGAGCATGGCACACGGAAGTGATCCAATCAGGGTCAGAGGAGATTCAAACTCCATCACAAGGGGTCAGATTTGAGCCTAAACTATAGCTGGATGTTCTAAGGCTCTTCAGTTTCCTGACATCTGCAATATGCAGTTGACTGCCAAGAGTGGAAACGTCTGCCTACGTGAAAAATAAATTCTGCCAATCTATGGTTCAAAAGAAGTGTATAAAGTTGGTACTTTTTATTTGTCATAAGAGTGAAAATTGAGCAAATGTATACATTTTAAAAACTTTCCTTTGTTCTTAAGCTTGTTTTAGAAATATTTCTGCCCTGCTAGTTAATATTATCATGATCCACTTCAAGAAAATGTGGAAAAAGTCACGTTTTTTTAATTTGTTTTTGTTTAATTTAGGAGTGAGCAAAGATTTTTCTAGATCTATGAACTTAGAGCAGCAAAGCATTCCCCCTTCCTCAACTGCTCCAGGAGACTTCTCACTTTCTACACTTTAACAACATGGCCATGTTTTACCACTTTAAAATACAATCAGTTGCAAAGAACAGAAATAGTTGGTTTTAAATAAAAAAAACTAAACAAAAAAACTGACAAAGCCCAACTAGTTAAACAGGTTATACATCTAAACACATTATAACTAATCTAGTTCAGAATAATCTGAATAATTACTTTGCACGTCAAAACAACTGAATAACACAGATTTTCTTTATATTTCAGATTTAATCTATTTATGAAAATCAAAAAACAATAAACAACTACGATTATTGAAAATATTTAATGACCCTAAATTAAAATGACTTTTAATTTGGTTGATTTTGTGAATATTGGCGTGGTATTTTAACCACATGTTAAATGTCACAGTAGCTCATGCCTATTTGGATTAAAGTATGGGGTGAATTTAGTTCCATTATTGTTGGAAGCAAGCAACATGTTCTATAAATAGAAATTTAAAGAAAAACAAAATCAATACATAAATAAACCTTTAAAAAGCCTCTTAATCAAAAAACTGTTTTGAGAGGAACGTTGCTTTGTTCTCGGATTTTATTCTTTAGAATTATTCTTTTTTGTGTTTTGAAAGTATTTTTTAATTTTCTTTTTCATTTTTTGTTTTATATTTCTCTTTTTCAGATTGCGTTTTGCGGATTTTAATATTTTTTTTATTATTATTGTGTTTTACAGATCCCATTCTGTTCAATTCAGGCCCAGTACAGAGATCGTCACACTGGATGTACACATATAAAAATAATAACAATGAAAAATGGCCAAAAATCGCATTTTGACCCAAAATGGCCGACTTGCTATGGGTTTTAGGGCATACCTCCAAGAGACTTTTTTTCATGATTTGAGGAGATCTACTTGTGTGCAAAATTTTAGATCTCTGTGACTTACGGTTTACCCCAAATCACGTTAGGGGGCGCTGTGGAGTAATTTGGGGGCGGCCATTTTGGATTCCATTAAAATCATGCGATTTCATGCGAGGGGACAATTTACTGCCAAGTTTTCCTGAGTTTTTGAACATGCTAAGTCCCCGTAAAATGCGTTCAAAGTGAGACAAGAAAAATAATAATAAGAAACCTAATAGATATAATAGGCTCTCGCAGCGCTTCGCTGCTCGGGCCTAAAAATGTTGTTGCTAACATCCATGCAGACCAACAGAAATGCAGCTTCCCTCTGCCCTACAGAGAGAAGCCCCCAAAAGTAAAGTAGCCTCGTGAGACCATCCTGATCCTGCGAGCTTTCAAGGTTTCACTCGCAGATCAGTCTGGAGACTCTCCGTTAAAGAAAATTTGGAGCCGTTCACCAAACGAACGTCCAATCAGCGTTGGCTTTGAGGCGGGTTGAGGTGTGACGCAACGAGAAGCGCGACAGTTCAGTCTAAAGAACATGGCGGCTTCAGCCGATGAAACTAGCGTTAGCGTGGCTATCGAGCAAGTTTTATCGGAATTACAGAGTATTTCTTCACTGAAAGAAGAGCAAAACACTGCTCTGGAGGCTTTTCTCAGAGGAAAAGATGTTTTTGCTCTTCTCCCGACTGGTTTCGGCAAGAATTTGATCTATCAATTGGCTCCTCGTTGCTTCGTTGATCTGATTGGTTTATTTGGCCCGTCTATCACCAACATAGGACAATCAGCTAACCAGTATTTTCGCCCCTTCCCAAAATTACTTCAACGGAAGGTTTCCAGATGGATATGCGGAGCAAATCCAGCACATCCATCTGGCAGAGTCAAGTTAGAAGTAAAGGTGATCTGATCTGTAAAATGTAATCTGAAAAGAGTGCAATTCGTAAAATGCAAAGTGAAAAAGAGAATAAAAAAAAAAACTTTTGAAAAATAAAATAAAGGGATAAAAAAATAAAAAATAAAAAAATTTATCTATATTTTAAGTCTGGATTGCATCTTAATTTTATTATTTCCAATTACAGAATCTGTTATCTGCTTGCAACCATAATGGTACGTAATTAGCACCATATGACATACGCCTATCATTAAACCTGATTTTACAATCCAACATGGCCGCAACACATGTCGAAGACAGTGGTGGCTCCTTTAATGGGCATTTTATTTATATCTCTTACAGCTATTACAGCTATTACTTTATCTAACAGACTCAAAGACTTACGATACAAATGAGTAATTTCACTTTTCCGATTCATGATCCAATGATTGCCAACTTGCCAACATTTGGAAGAAGAATGTTTTCAAGATGACTTGGATAATAGCGCGTTGTGACAAACACCAGATACAGCACTGGGACTTGATCAACAGCCGATACCGCACCGTGACGTCACTAACCAGTAGGTGGCAGTAGTGTTCTTTGACAAACATGGATACCTCCAGTAAAGCACATTCACATGAAAATTAATCTGAATTAACAACACTTATCATTTATTGAACAGTGTGTAATAATTTAATATTTAAAGAACTTTCGGAAGTTTTAATTCAGAATATGACCGAGCAGAATTTCCTCACGTAAAATTGAGCTGGACAACTTTTTTCTTCCCTTTCTTGATTATCTGAATAATTTGAGTTTCATTTAAACCCTTTCTAAACTGAGCTTTTCAAAATGTAATTAAAATGAATCCAGGAAACCTTTATAGTTAATTGCATTTAAAGTGGCTGCAGATTTAAAACATCAGAGCATCTGTTTAAAGGTGACTTCTTAAACAAAAAGGATGGGTTAACTGTTTCAACTCCAAAGTGTTATAATCTCAAAGGATGTGATTATTCTGAGCTAGAGAAGCATAAAACCTTTTCATCCCCTCTAGTGACTGCTAACATCAGTCTCACATCAGCTTTTTTTTCCTCCTCTTGGATATCGGCCATGGATGGTTATCAGCTTCCAGTGAATTTGCGGGATAACCGTAAGTTCAAAATGATGCATGTCAGTCCCCAAACCATGCTGTTTCCGCATGCAATGCCCAAGCCGTCATCGGTGCATGCAGAGTTCAGGCGCACTAAGGGGAATATTTAGAGTGCTCTCTGTATTTCCGGTCTGACCAGCCCTCTTAGAGGACTGGAAAGACTGCAAAGGAAAAGAGGAGGCTTCTCTGTATCTTCAGTGATACAGTTCATTAACAGCAGTACCGATATCGTCAACAGATACGCAGCCACCGGCAGCTGCAACACTGGAGATGCAGTGAAACCTGCGGCAGAATTCAACACGCTGCTGAGACTCCGGCCACTGCAGAGGAGAGGGACCACTAAGTTTCCCTGAAAGCACGGCAACAGTCTGACATACCCGTCAACACATCAGAAACTGCTGTTTTACTTGATATAGAGATGTTTAATACGTGAATATCACAATTATATTATGTTGTTGACATATATGACCAATCTCTGCTTTCAAAACAGGTCTTTTTATTATTATTCCACCTATTTTTATCAATAATATCAACAGTTTTACATTAAGCATTTTAACTTTAACTGTTTTTATTTGTTCAGAATACCAGCTAACTTTAAAATGTCCAGGGTCTATTGTTCATTTTATCAATATAAGCTTGTGTTTTGATAAACTTATTAATAATATTTTGTGAAAGCTTTGTTTTGGGTGATAAATAGGTTCCTGATATTGTTGGAGTTCACGTCTGAAGAAGACGTTTTTAGATGTGCTTTTGATTGGTTAATTGGTACCTCATAATGGCTCCTCCCCCTGAAGCACATCCATCGCAATATTTTTAACAGTCGAACAAAGAAATGCATTAAAATAAGCTACAATAATATCCTTTAAATCGCAACAATACCACCTTTAAAGTGTAATTAGTTATTTACAGTTCATTAAATTGGAATATAAAGCCTTAAATGGCCAAGCTCCATCTGATATCAGAGATATGATTGTTCCTTATGTTCCTAACAGAGTACTTCGCTCTCAATCTGCAGGTTTACTAGTGGTTCCTAGAATTTCTAAAAGTAGAATGGGAGGCAGATCTTTTAGTTATCAGGCTCCTCTCCTGTGGAACCAACTACCAGTTTTAGTCCGTGAGGCAGACACCCTGTCTACTTTTAAGGCTAGGCTTAAAACTTTCCTTTTTGATAAAGCTTATAGTTAGAGTGGCTCAGGTTATCCTGAGCTATCTCTATAGTTATGCTGCTATAGGCTTAGACTGCTGGAGGACATAGGGACCCCTTTTTCATCATTCTGCTTCATTCTATCTCTATTCTCCCACTCTGCAGAATCTGTTAGTTCAATCTCTAACGTTCTGCTCTCTCTGCTTTTTCTCATAGTAGCTTCATCTGGTCTGTTCCTGTTTGGCTGTGACTCCATCCTGGAGAGAAATATCAGCTGTGCTGCTGCCATCAACATTGTTTATAGATGTCTGAAACACAGCCTGTTTTTCAGTGTAGTCCTGTTTCTCTGACTGTGACTAACTGGATGTGCTCTCTTCATCCTCTGACATAGGTGCTGGTTTGGAGCTCTTCTGCCTGGCTGTGTGTTTCTTGGATGGGGGCCGCCTGTGGAACGGGTGGACAGGTGCCTTTTGTATCTATGCTTCTTTTTCTATGTCTGCTTCTGTCTCCTTGAACCCCAGTCGGCCTCAGCAGATGGCCGCTCACACTGAGCTTGGTTCTGCTGGAGGTTTCTTCCTGTTAAAAGTAGGGATGGGGATCGTTAATATTTATTGATATTGATACCTTTATCAATACTCCTTATCGATCCGAGTCTTTATCGATACCACTATTGATACTTTTCTGTTATTTGGTGGAAAGACGATGCGACAATATGTTTTTAACAGACAGAAAGGAAGTGGGAAAAAAAATATTTGAAGAAATGTCCTATATTTTGAAGAAATTTCTTGTTTTGGTTTAAAAAAAATATATAAATTTTCACAATTGTTGGCTAATGTATTGTTTACTGTCACTTCATGTCATCATGTTTTTAGTAATTAGGAAAATATTTAGCAAATAAATAATTGTATTTTAAATTAAATGTAATTTTTAATAAATATTGGCATCAGTAGTTTAATTATATATTCTAAAATAATTAGAGCAATATACAACTGCATTACTCATGTTTCTCGCCAAAAACTAAATTTCCCTTTTCCTTACGTTACACTTGAACGCATCATGATAACCTAATTGTCGTTTTACTGAGCCAATCTGAACACATCATCACGCATCACGTCTGAAACTTTATTTACTTTTCAAGCTAACTAGCTTGTATGCTTCCGATTACAACACGGATTTCACAATTACTATTTTTAACTGACCGGACAAGCTACAAAGTCTGTGTGCGCGCTAACCAGTGGTACTCTGAGTGGATGATGAAGACGGGCCTGACTGTGGTGCGGCGGCAGCAGCAGGAGGAGGAGGAGTCTTTTCAACCCAGAGACAGTCGAAGGTACTGCATTTGGCCTTTATTTCATGCACAATACTAATGTGCTTGGCCATTGAGGTTTGGTCCCCCCCTTTACAAGAGATGATTTTGCAACATAAGTTGCATTTCGCTTTTCCGGAGAAAAAAAAAAAAAACGACCAGACTCGATAGTGGTATCGATAAGCCCAAACGTTATTGTTTTTCGGGTTTTGAAAAAAGTGGAACCGGGTCCTTGATAGAACCGGGTTTCGATCCCATCCCTAGTTAAAAGGGAGTTTTTCCTCTCCACTGTCGCTACAAGCATGCTTTGTGTGAGGGATTGCCTTTGAGGCAATGAGGCGATGCAATCAACTGATTTTCCTTTATTAGAAAACTTTGAATAAATCTGACTGGATGATCTGTAAATTTTCTTGAGATGACATGATGTGAATTGGCGCTATAGAAATAAACTGAATTGAATTGAAGCTAGACATATTGAAGTTAGTTTTAAATCAGTTTGGGTCCGGATTAGCCAGCAGTTGGGCCCCGGTCCGCTAATCTGTGACCTCTGCAGCAGAGGATCGAGGTCCTACCAACCCGTTGCTTTGGCAGAAATCTACAAAGTAAATTCAAAACCAGTTAGCTTCTTCAATGCAACTCAATCACTTCCGTCTAACACTATTTAATCAATTAAAACTCGGTGATAAAGGAGATCATCCTGCGACCTGTGGGTTGATGTGCGCCTCTCCTTATTCTGTGAGCCGTTCTTCCGGTCCATTAAAAATTAAATTATTAGACTTTGAATCTAGACCTAGAGAAATGGGAAAGGTTCCTACGTGTGACATTTATTTCCCCTGAAATATTTTGTTTCCTGACGTCTTTGTGATGTTAAGTGTGAACCAACAGTGCATTTTTAAGCAACCAGGGAAGCAGTTTACTTCAAGTCAAGAATTAATTTAGAAGAATTAATTTGACTGTTCCTTTTCATTTAGTTCAGCTCTTAAACATCTTGAACATTAGTCACACCTATCTATATTACACAAAATAACACGCGTTTTCATTTATTGAACTTTGTGACAATATAATTTTCAATTTTATGGCACCTGCTATCAAGAGTTAAATTAATCGTTTAAGTTTTAATGAAGTTCAACTGAACATGCTGATTTTTCACATTATGTAGACACAAAAAATTAGAGTTGAAGTAACTAAAATGCTTAAATAGATCCAACAGATGCTAGATTTCTTTTTTCTGTGTGTTTTACCATCAAAACTGCATCTAAAACTACAATATTGCATAAAGATAAGTATATATATATGCAAATAGCGTATTTCAGGACACTTTAAAAAGTCTTAATGACCATTAACTAATCCTCTAATAATCTATAATTTTAACTAAGGTATAAAGTATAATGTTAGTGATGTAACATAATGTCTATATGTACAAATAAAACAGCATTCAGGACTGATGTGTACAATAGAGGAGGAGGCTTAGTGGTCCAGCAGCAGTAAACTACGGGTGGGAACAGGACCTCAGCAGCAAATCAAAGTGAATCATCCTGACAGACACCTCCTCTACAATCAAACCACACTCTCGTCTTCTTCTATTCTCCTTCGTCTACCAATCTATCAGTTTATTATTGTGGAGGAGAGGGTGGGATGCTTTGCCAGTAGCCGAGTTGTCATCATTCCAGTTTTGAGCTGATAAATTCACTCAGAGCTCACCATAGTTCTGAGCTCCCGGAAAACCTGATGGTTTACAACAAATCCTGAGCGGGAAAAAACCCTTCCTGTTCCTTTGTCAGCCTACAAGCCAAAACAGAGGGCAGAGTTAACCGTCAGAGGATGAGGAGAACGGCCACCGACTGCCTGTCCTGGCTTCAGGAATGAAGGACATTATGGGGCAGGACTTCATCAACACGGATTACATCTTTAAAACCTCAGAGATGAACTGTACAGTAGAAAGGTCAGAAAAAAAAAAAAAAAAAGAATGTTTTCATTTGGAATGACCATATAATGCTAGAATCACCACAAAGCAAAACTGGGAGGTTTCATTGCATCGTTTAAACGCTGTATGAATCTGTGTCGGGGTCCCGGTGTCCTGTCAGCTCAGGGCGTCAGCCCAGCATGATCGTTATTAGCAGTTATTAGTCCCATTTAATTATTAATCTATTTATGTGCAATCTTAAAATAATTTCATGTACTGTAAAAATAAACAAATAAAAATAAAATGATCCGCATGTCCTCATGTTAAACAAACCAAAGACAAATAAATCAGATATCCTGTCAAATCAGTTGTAGAATCCTCTCCCTATAAGTATTTCATTCTCCTAATAATCCTTTAATAGGATCCCTGTCAAACGGACCTTTGAAGCTAATGTGCGTAACGGACCTAGTGAAGGACTTTTTTTGTTGTTTTATGGACAAAACAATGACAAAAACCTGACTAATATTGGGGAATAAAACAGCTTGATTGGCTGTAAGAGCGGAGACAGAGGATACCACTAAGGGTATGCTGGCCTGACGCGGTATGCTGAGCTGACAGAACACCGGTTCCTGTCATTCAGTCAGCAGAAGGTCCTCACTAAGCCTCATTTCCACAAATACATTTATGCTGGTAATTCTTTCAGATATACTAGGGGTGTAAATCACATCCATCATGGCGATTCGATTCAGTATCGATTTCCTGACCCAACGATTCGATTATTTTCGATACTCAAGAATACACCACGATACGATTTGATTCGGTTAATCGATTAATCGGTTAATTTATTTTTTGTTTTTTACACCTTACAGGCTAAACAAAGTTTCAAGTTTGAAATAAATCAATGAAAGCTGTAATATCGTTATGCTGTTTTTTTCAGAAACAACAGCAAATAACATAAGTAGAAAAGTTGCATCAAAAAATACTGCACATAATCAGTGCAATGAGTGCAATGCAATACCTCGGCTCCAGATGCCCCGCCCCCTCCACAGACGCTCCGCTGCTCCTCTCCCAAATTGTAGCTGACCGCAGACAGGAGGCCGGCTTGTTTTGTTTTTATGACCGAAATTGCAGAAAACAACTCGTGAAGTTTGACCCGCTAGAAGAGCGAGGTGCGCGAGAACGCTGGGACCCTTTTTCCACCTGGATCTCCGCTCTTTTTGGCCCTCATGTCCCTCCGTCGTCGGATTAAACTCGCCCCCACTTCCTCGCCGCCTCGGCCGTATCTAGACCCACAGCGTGTAGCACAGACCACGCTTCAATATTGATCATAAATCAAAAATTTCTGTGTCAAGCTCACTGCAACACACTGCTGTAAGAGTATAACCAGGAAGCGAGGTAGGAGGGCAAAATAGGTTTAGCGCCACCGCAGCACGGGAGGACAATTACGCCCAGGAGCAAATGGGTAAAAATAGACCGGAGGAAAAAAAAAAAACATGATTCGATTCTCTTGCGGACGTATCGATGCATCGGATCGTCGGCTGTTGGATCGATGCATCGATACAAAACGATTATTATTTACACCCCTAAGATATACATAAATAAAAGCTTGTTTTCCTCATTTTTTCTGAGGTTTTCTGGGCATTACTAAAACTTCCTCAGGTAAGTTTCACAAAGACAAAAATATTCACTGATTAAAATAAAGAGTGATTCAAATCACGTTTTGTTTTTTAAGGCTTTCATCCTCAAATAATAATTATTTGAATTCCTTGAATCACATTTTGTGATCATTATTATCATCATTTCATTTTAAAAAATGTATATATTTAAACAGAACTAGGAGTAAAGGTAAGAACATTGGGTCAAGTTCAAAAGCAAGGACTAAATGGATCTATGTGACAAAAAAAGACCACTGATGAATTAGTGTTAAGTTTATTTAATAGTAACTGTAGTGTTTTTCTTTCTACAGTAGTTTCCTTTGTTTGGATCAAAAACTACAATCCTGCAGTTTTTTGTCCCTATTTGGGCCAATTTCTCAGTCGTGCAAGAAAAATTGCTTTATCATGCTTCCTGTAGTAATGAGCAGAATGAGCCCATTTACCTCCAGCTTGCGTATTTAGCATGTTTAAAGAAGGGATTTCTTCTTCTTCTCCGACTTTACTTCCTGATAGACGAGTCCGATCAGCATCTCTCTACTGGGCTGAGTCTATTTGGCGGTTTTTGGTCGTAGAGTGTGAGCAGGTAGAGCGCTTTAGAGCTAGTGAACCCTGTGGTTTGCGTTGTAGCTGAATATGATAGATCTGATATAAATAAGATATAAGTATCATAGAGTATATGCCTGCCTTAATGGGTACTGTAGTTCCTCACCACTGACGACAAGAAACTTCCAACTGATCTGATAGTTGTCGGCATGACTTTGATTTGCCAAAGTTAAAACCCAATCAGTTTATTATTAATTTAACGATAATACCCCATACACACTACCCTTGAAAAACCGATCCATGCTAAGACCGATCCGAGCTCGGTTCTGACGACAGTTTACACATCATGCTATCTCGGTTCCTCAACTCTTCGCCTCCTAGTGACGATCTATGGTATTACTGCCAGTATTGAAGGAGGAAATCAAGCAGATGGTGGCGGTAATGCATCAAAAGTTGTTTGCCAACCGCCATAAAACACAAGAAGAAGAAGACGAAGAAGGAGGGAATCAAGCAAATCAAAATGGCAGCGCCCGTCACATTCAGAAAGTTATGCTCGATTATTATTGCTGTACTTTGGTGTTTGTTGAGGGTGAGGCGAAGACGGCAACCATTATTTAAAATGTTGCGTGGAGAAGATTTCGATTGTTGTTTATAGTTGTTCTTCTTCTTCTGTTTTGTGTCGGTTGGCAAGCAACTTCCGGAGGGGCATTACCGCCAACTACTGGAATGGAGTGTGAATCGCGATGTGCAGCCAGACGGAGATAACGCGTTCTGCTCATGCGCTCTTGTTACCAGAGAACCGAGCCAGGGAAAAACCGAGCCGAGCCCACCTCTGGAACTGGTCTGCAGTTAGCTCGGTCCGGTTGTGTCTAGCTCAGTTCAGTTCAGTTTGCTTTCCATTTACACACCATAAGTTATCCAAGTTACTGAGCTCGGACCGGTCTCGGCACGGTTTTTCAAGGGTAGTGTAAGAGAGTCCCATTCCCATTCAAACTTATTGGGGCACACTAACTTTACACATGAACGCTCTAAACCGAGTGCTAGAGTCCAAAACGAGTGCAAGTGAGAGAAATGGGCCTGGGCCTTAAGGGCTGGTTATCCTCCCACAGCAGTGTGTCGCAGGTATGAGGCAGACATTTTTGATTTATGCTCAAAGCGTGGTCTGCGCTATGTTATTCCACGCCACAACGCAATAGGGGTGGAACGGTTCACAAAATCCATGGTTCGGTTCGGTTCACGGTTTCGTAGTCACGGTTTTCGGTTCGATTCGGTATATGTTGATTGTTAGGAAAATCTATCATATCTTGTATAGTATAAAGCGTGTTGCACAATGCTTGCACACTGTTGCACTTTTATCCACAACTTTCTTTCCGCCGTCATCGTAGGTCACTCTAAATGCAAAGTGGTCCCATACAGCAGACCTATAAAGTGCTGCTGGCGCGTCTTCCAACTCCTGTTCTTTCCCACTCGCCATACCCACACAATTCTCCACAACAACTGATTTTTTTTCTGCTACACCCGGCTACGCTGCTTCGCTTCTTCTTCTTCTTGTTTAGTACTGGTGGTTGGCTTTGGTCGCAGTACCGCCACCTTCTGCTCTGGAGTGTAAACGCTTCGCCTATGAGAAAAAGGAGCAGCGCATGAACCGAACGCAACACACGCGAACCGAACCGAGACAGTCGAACCGAACGGTTCGGACGGTTTTCTGTTTTTAGGGACACTAGCTGTGGGTCTAGATACGGTCAAGGCGGTGAGGAAGTGGGGGCAACTTTGTACGACGGAGGGACATGAGGGCGAAAAAGAGCAGGGATCCAGGTAGAAAAAGGGTCCCAGCTGGTCCAACTTCACCAGTCGTTTTCTGCAATGGCGGTCATACAGACAAAACAAGCCGGTAAGGTACAAAACAGGAAATACACATAGTGTAGAGCGGATGTAGATTTGACCAATCAGAGGCCTCCTGTCTGCGGTCACCTACGATTTTGGTTCAGCAGAGTGTCTGCGAAAGGGGCGTGGCATATCTGCGTTAACTGCTAAACAAACGCAGACAACCTGGTTTCTGAGTATAAATCAGCCTTTTAACTCCATTGTCCAAACCTTTAGCTCCTCCCACTGATTTTTTGCCTGGCATGCTCTATAAGATTAATATGATCTCTAGCCAGGAGAAACCTGTCACTCAAATTAAAGGATTTTTAAGTCCTGATAATCAAAGGCTCAACATTTACTGCATTCTAGACAGTACTTTTTAACATGCATGTATTGCAATAAGAAAGTACGGGTGATACATTGCGTTGCTCTGCAGGAGGACTCGGTTTTATGAAGCAATTGAAGTCAACTTGAAGTGAACTGTATTTTGTTTAGGGTTAACTACATAAAAAAGGACTAAAAGGAATAATTTAAACAATAACTTCACAGTTAGTAAATATTAATGCACTGCAGTACCCCACAGCTCAGCAACGGTTTGCAGCTTTTCTGAACCCAATCCAGTGTTTCATGGTGAATCTGCCATTAGATGGAGAAGGAGAACGCCGTATCTGTGAACTGGATGCATGTGGACGGGGCAGCTGTGCCTACCTGGGCAGACACACTGCTGCTAAAGCAAGAGCACAGTGTGACACTTTTAGGAAAGCAGTGGAAAATGGTCCATCGCTGTTTTAAATCAACAACAAATCAACTGTTGCA